GAAACACTACCTGGCAAAAAAATAAAATGAAGTTGAAATTAGATTTATAATTAAATTTATTATCATTAGAAATTATGTGCATATTTCTGTATTTATATGTTTATGCATATGCACACATGCACATCTATTCACACAACTGGTAACCAGTCTAGGAGAAAGACAAATTTGAATTCAAAACTGGTTTTGCATGGTGCTAGCAGTTCCACCTTGTAAAAACCTACTTGATACAGAAACTAATGCAATAAAACCTAGTATAATAAGACTATGGATTTATACTTCCTTTTGCACTTATTCCCTTAAATAAAGCAGGAATCCCAAATCCTTATAATCATGTTCTCATCATTGGCTTACCATAACTGTAGACAAAGAGTCAGTGAAGCCAATGCTGTACAACTCCCAGATTATAATATGATAAATTTAAAAGCTTAAAAACTCCATCATGTTCACACACTGACAAAAAATTAAACTGTCACCCATTAAATATATGTTTCAATTTACTCAAGATTACACATACAAGCACTGGGTTTAATAAATGTATGGGGGTGACCATGTTATCTTTCATTGGTACAGATATTTACCCAAACTTTTAAAATAAAAAATAAAGACAGCTCAGAAGAAGTTGGAAGAACTTAAATGGAAATTTTACTTTTATGAAAGAAAACATGCTAACAAAGTGTTTGCACTGGATTTGTTAACTGGGATAAAAGTTAATTTTAATGCCTCCAAAACTAAACTGCTCTCCATTAATCATCTGAGAGACCCATCTCTCCCTTCCATCATTATGGTTGATGCTAACCTCCAAGAAAGTGACTTGTTGCTCCTTCTTGGGCTAATGTTCTCTGCTGACATGAAGTGGAAAAACTATATTGAATTCATTGCTAGGTCAACTGCTAAGAAAGTCAGTTTACTCTGCTGTGCGAGACAATTTTTCTCTCCAGAATCTATCTTACATATCTATAAGTTTACCATTCGCCCATGCTTAGAATATTGCTGCCACATATGGTCTGGTACCTCTGCTATTTACCTTGAGCTCCATAATAAGACCCAAAGAAGAATTTGCAATATTATTGGTTCTCATCTGACATCTTGGCTTCAGTCACTTTCCCATTGTTGTAAGGTTGCTTGTGTCTTTTCTATAAATATTTTCATGGTAATTGTTCAGATGAGCTATTCACTAGGGTACCTAGACTTTATGAATTTAAGCACAATACTAGACTGATATAAAAATCTCATCAATTTAGAGTTAAGCTGGCTAGACGTAGCTGTATATTCTATACTGACATTTTCTTCTCTTGCACTTCTTGCTGGTTCCATGTTTTCCAGCCAACTTTGACCTTCAAAATTTTAAATGCAATGTCCATCTTTATCTACTGTCCTCCTGATTACTCTTTTCTCTCTCTGCTCATTATTAATGTTTCTGTTCCTAATTCTTCCACACCCTGTAACCCTTTGTGTTTTAGTGGCTTTACTGCCTTGCATGGAGTGATACTAATTAAAAAAAAAATAATCACAATCTAAAGCTCAGACATAAACAGTACACTGGTATGAATGTTACTATATCACAAAATGGTTGAAGACTTTGAAAAGGGTGTTGAAATTTGATAATGCAAGCCAACCTTGGGTACAAATTTAATATTTTGGTGGTGATATTTAGAATTTATTCAATAATTTTAAACCATACATATGCACACGCACACACACATACAGATATACTCAAATGAAAGTAGTGTCTGTAATATCCTGTGATAACTATTTTAATACTTATTTACCTGTACAAAAAAAAAGAAATTATGATCACTTTTCAATTGTGTTGATTATACTTTTTGCATGAGTTATCTAGAATTTCTATCAATACATTTAATTTTATTGTCACTTGTAAGAAAGAATTCTGCTTTCTAAATCATTAAAAGCAAAAATATTCACAGAATGCTAACATGAAACAAGACAAACGAAAAGCAGTATATGAGCAGCCTGGTATTCCCTACTTACTGAAGAGGTATTCTGTTGTTATGGCAACACATATCATATATACTTATTAGGGTAATGTTTCTTGTTACTATGACAACATAACTATTCCTAATTAATGATGTACTATTATGATATCTGGTGTGTCAGGGTCATGAATTTGTTGAAGTCAAATCGAGGTCACCAATTTGTTGGAATTTGATGTGGGTGTGAGTGTGAATGATAAAAGGGAATGTGCTTACATCAGTGATGATTGTCACATGGACACACAAAGCTGAAAACCATTCAAAGACCAATAGAATCTTAATCTGAAAAAATGATCCTCAGTGACATTTCTGATTGGACAGAAAATAATTGATGTTCATTCAGCCAATTTTTTTCATTAGCTACTTGAATATTCTGTTTTGATCATATCTGTTTGTAAAAACTACCTTACTCATTTGACTTTTGGTTTTTGAACGGTGAAGGCGATTGTTGCAAAAGGTCTTCTTGATCAATATACAAGGTTTATATTAAAATACTTACATAATGTTATTTTCTTAGCCAGTAATATCATCTAGCTAATCAACTGGAGGATGGATGTTTTTCTCCATCTATATCTGGATTACTTAATGGCTAAAGAGTTTCACCTACCCATGAGATCATTAAGAATGATTAACCAGTTGCAGTAAAATGCCAAATAAGCCTTGAATGTACTGCTTTTGGAAAACATAAGGTATGCTGAAATCAACAATCTACATGAAAATGAAGATATATCTTATATATATATATATATATATATATATATATATATATATATACACACACACACTTCTAGTTGTTCTATATGTTTTAGATTGTATGGCATGGACTTAAAAACAGTAGGTATGCTAAAATCTACAAGAGTACCAATCCACACTAAAATGAAGATATACCTTATATATATTTATCCATTTATTTTATTTGGTTTAGATTGTGTTATATGGACTTAAAAACATAAGCTATGCTAAAATCAACGAGAGCACCAATCCCCATGAAAATGAAGATATACCTTATATACATTCATCCAGTTGTTTTATTTGAATTGTGTGATATAGACTTGAAAACTTTCAGCTCAATTTCCAAAACCATATGATGTGCATTATCACAGATCATAAATTGATAGACAAAAAGTGAACATGACCATGATTAGAAATGTAACTAATTTGCCTGGACTCTTTGATATCATCTGTAATAATTCCTCGAAATTATTTGGATATTTTTTAAGCATTTCACCTCAAGTAAGGCAGTAGTGCCATTAGTATGCAAGGGTTACAGAGAGTGAAAGTAAGAGTAAAGAGGGGTGTTTGAGGAAAGGATAAAGAGAAGGATGGGGATCGAGATCAAGGCATCAAAAGATGTTGATTGACATTACATTTAAATTTTTGAAGATTATAGTTATCAGAGAAGCAAGTAAGACGAAGGGAGTTCCACTGTCAGGAAGTGCGAGAAAAGAAGCTGTTTGAGTAGAAGAGGCGATTACATTTAACTGTTTCAACAGTAAAAGAGTGGGACTGAAATGCTGACCTAGTAGCATGCTTAAACTGAGTGATAAAATATGGTAATTAATAAAATATTATAAAAGTACATAATAAATATCACATTGTACTTAGTTCACATATATTTATAATCTTGTAAATAAACATTGCTGAGGGAGTCAAAAGTGTGTACAGTAATAGCAGTGACAAGGGAATAACAATCCTTTTGACAAAACATTTTTTTGTGGGCATGAAGGTTAAATCTTGCTGAGAATCTTTGTATAGTGTTCATTATAGAAGAAAAAGTTAAGTGTTCTTTGAATGAATGCCAATGTGTAAAATGTCTTACTTGCAATGCAGGTTGTTCTGTCTTTTAGTGAATGACTATTAATTGTAATAAATAGTCTTGAAGGAATTTCTTATGACCAAACTCAACATGCTGGAATGAGAAATTTTACATATTAAGCATTGTGATCATTTTTGTTGCATGAAGCTATTGAAGAAAATTTTGATTGATGAAAACTAGTATTTTCATTGGTTCTAAATTCTTCTTCTTCTTCATCTATTTGCTTTGTCCCTTCAGGACATGAGCAGTCATGACTCTCCACAATTTCTTGTTCTATGTAGCTCTTAGTAAATTTTGTCTTTTCGCTATCTCTCCTAATTCCTGTTATGCCAACCATTTACACAAGCTCGTTAGGTAGGTTATGCACTGCTTTTCTGTATACCTCTTACCTTTAATGTCTTGTGAGTGTTAAATTTTCTAAGCCCTCTTTCCTCATGTGCCCTAGAAATTTCAACTCTCTCTCTGATGTTAAGTAAAAGTGCCTTTTTTGTTTCCATTTTCTCTAAAAGTTTGTCATTGCTCACATGTTCAATCCATGGTATTTTCAGCCTCTTTCTATTGTCTGAAGTCTCTTCTTCATCTGTGATGAGATTGTCCTGCATTCACTGCCATATAGGAGGACCAATATTATATAATATTTAAGTACTCTTTGTGTCTAATGAGGTTTCTCTGTTTCTTAATACTTTGCTTAATTTTTGCAAGGCATCTTTCGATATCCCATTTTTTTTTCTGTAAATTTTGTATGTGGTGATCCTCGGTTTGGTGCCATAAGCTAATCTAATTTTAGACTTGAAGAAAAAACCTGGTTTTGAGATTGACAAAATTTGGATGTACCAAATTTCAAATGTGTCAACTATGCTATCTTTATCACTAAATAGTCCTCAACAAATTGGACAATTCTCTCAACAATATACCTATTAATAAGGCTGACAAAACGATGGATGTTTTGAAAAATTTAGGGTGTGAATGCCACAACAATCTACTCTATTTAACAAACCTTGCATCATCCAATTATATCTTGTTTCTATATGCTTGAAAGAGGGGAAGTTTTTTGAATGATTCAGAAGTGATAGCCATATCAGAACAGTATTTCTTACACCAATCATCAGAATTTTTAGAGAAAGGCTAGAGAAATATTTAAAAAATGTTGAATTATATGGTGAATAAATATATTTCCTGATTCTTGGTTATAACAGTTCTCGTATAATCACTGAAGTTAAGCAATGTTGATCCTGGTCAGTACCTAGATGGGTGACCACTTGGGAATACCAAGTACTGAAAGTTTGGATGTGTAGGTGGTGTAATTTATAATAGCTCTGAAAGCCAAGTTCCAATTTCAGTAAGGTTCATTATATTCAATTACATGCAAATACCCTTGGAAAGGTATGAATCCACCTCTTCTCCCCCCAGCTATGGGTTAATTATTTAGGCATTATTATTATTAAATTATTCCTCAACAAAAAAAAAATTCTTACAGTCAGTATTATCTGGATATGGGTTGATAAGCTGTAGAAAATGAATCAATTAATAGAACTTGTAAAAAATCCTAAAATGTTTACTAAGCCATAATAAACAAATCAATCAATTACATACCATATATGCTTATGTATCATACAATCTTTAAATACCTAATTTGAAGTTAATTTGACTACAGTAAATGGATATATAGTTTGGTCAGTGGTGTAGCCAAGGCCAGCAGTATATATGCTAATTTTATATCTTGTGCATGATTTGACCCCTTAAAATTAGCTTCAAAATTAGGTCTTCAAAAGTCACATGATTTGCAAGTATATACAGTATATTAAAGAAAAAGGAAGCTCTCAGGAGATATGATCACCTATATCCTGAAGAAGCATAGCATTTAAAAAGGGGTAAGCTCTGATAAGCTATCATGTGATAATTTAAATGATTTAATTTTGTTTTGTTAGAAAAATATAAAAATAACTCTTAAGAACTCCAGTTTGGAAGAGAAGGGTAAAATATATTGATATTTAATTTGTTCAAGTATTAACTGATCAAGTGTGATCAACCTGTTTTTCAAATAATTGTTTTCAAATAATTATTTTCAAACAATGTTTACATAATCCCCCATTTCTTCTAGCAGTGTGGCATTGGTTCTACTTCTTTTTTATTTTTTTTACGACATCATAATTTATTTCAGCTTCACTCTTTTTACCAATAAAATTACCATCTATATTCATTTGAAAATTACAATATACAAAAAAGTAATTAAATCTGGTCAGAGGATGAAAAACAATATGAAAACGCACTGGACAATATTCCATTGTGGTCACAATACATAAAAACTTGCATTTCTTTCAATGTCGCCTCTTTGTCATCATACCAAGTCATTCATTTTTAATTGCTCAACTAATTGACTTAAGTATTTAATTATGGACTAATTAAGTAATTAATTTATTAATGGACTTATCATTGAAAAAAAATTCATCATTACTTCAGTTAGGATATGAGATAAAAATGAAATATATTATCATGAGTGTTAACTGCAGACAACAAGGAATGGAAAAATGAAACAGCTATTAGTATTAATGCTATTCTTGTGATAGCTTTACCATCAATGAATGTTACTTGTATATTTTATAAGTACATTAAGTACATATTTTGTCTGGGTTTTTTAGATGAGGAATTATAATTATTATATACAAATTGAACCGGACTCATGTCCTTATCTTGATAGTTACAGTTAGAGCGTCTTGGCTGCTATACTTTCTAGTTCCCCCCCCCATGCAATGCAGTAAAGCACTAAGACACAAAGGGTTACTGTGTGTGGAAGAATTACTAAAGAGCAAGAACAATAGAAGAGTAATGAAGAAGACAGTAGATAATGATTGACATTGCATTTAAATTTTTGAAGGTCAAAATTGACTGGAAAGCATGGAGCTGGAAGAGAGTTCCATAAGTGAGAAGTGTGAGAAAAGAAAATGCTAGCATAGAACTTATGGTTACATCTAGCCAACTCAACTGTAAATTGATTAGACCTTGTTGCCAGTATAGTACTGTACTTAAAGTCTAGGTACCATAGTGAAGAGATCATCCGAACAATTACTATGAAAGTATTTATAGAAAAGATACAGATAGACAACTTTACAGCTATAGGAAAGTGACTGAAGCTAAGATGTCAGGTCTGGATCAATAATACTGCCAATTCTTCATTGGATTTTATCAAGGATCTCTCAATATATAGCAAGAATACCAGACCATATGTGACAGCAATGGTCTAAGCATAGATGAATAATAGACTTATAGATGTGTAAGATAGATTCTGGAGAGTAAAATTGTCTAGTATGACACAGTGAACCAACTTTCTTAGCAGCAGACCTAGCAATGGATTCAATATAGTCTTTCCACTTCATGTCAGGCTAGAATGTTAGCCCAAGAAGATGCAACAAGTCACTTTCCTTGAGGTTAGCATCGGCCCTGCCGATAGAAGGCAGAAAAGGGTCTCTCAGATTATTAATAGAGAGCTGTTTTGTTTTGGAGGTGTTAAAATTAACAAGACATTCTTTGCCCCAGTTAACAAGAAAAGATGAGATGCCAGGCCAGGACCAATAACATTGTAGTTTCTTCTTTAGATTTTTATCAAGAATCTCTAAATATATAGCAGGAGAACTGAACCAGATGTAGCAGCAATATTCAAAGCATGGATGAATGGTAGACTTAAAAATGTGTAAGATAGATTCTGGAGAGGAAATTTATGCTGATTCCCAAAGAAAAAATATTGCATACATATCAAATACCTTTTGTAAACATTTGTTATCAACACCTGCCTACTTTGTGTTTTATTATTTATTGTGCTGAGTGTATTTACAATCTTGCTGTTTCAAATAAAAGGTTTTTTAAGCTGAGTAAAAATTTCTGAAAACATGTACTTATGTATAATATAATCCCATTTTTTGCCCTTAATTTTTCTTCATAATTTCTTGTATAATGCACAAGAAAATACATCAGTATTTAAAGGGGACAATAAAAAGGTTTTATTAAACATATGGATGTAGTATTCAGTAACAGACAATCTCTTTGTAGTGGGTACTGAAAAATTGTCATTAGATGTGATGAATAACTATCCATTGGTTATTAAAAGATGAAACAATTAAAGGTGTAAGAAGAATAAAAATTTAACAATTTTATTATTGCTTCATTTAATTAATTTTCAACTCTCAGGAAAAAAGTGGAGTTCTTCTGTAGCTACATATGCAGTATTCCTTTGTATCTTGTCAGCATGGCCAAGAATTGAGGCCATGTAGTCTGAGCAGCACATGACCTCCATTTACCATCGCCTAGGCCTGTGCCTTGGAGAGGTCACTCCAATCTCACCACCAAAAGACTGAATTTTGAGTAAACAGAGTGTTACCATTATCTCAAGAGGTAAAAAAATGCTGTGACTGTAAGGCTGGGTTATCCTCTTTTCTTGCAGAGTAGAGTGAAGTTTATCTGTAGCTACATATGCTATAATTGTAAGGCAGGGTTATCTCATTGATCTGAGAAAATACTTGTATATAGCTGATAGTTTAGACATTTCTGAACAACGTGGATGACATATAGGATATATATATGAAAGTATCAATCTGACAAGGCTATTTAAGAACATGACAAGTTCTTTTAACTGATAGTTTAGACATTTTTGAACAAGTTGGATGCTATATATGACATCCATATGAGAGTTTATATCTGAAAAGGCTATTTAAGAACATGACTCTGTAGAATAACAATACAATAAACAGCACTTACCGGCGTAAGGGTCCCAGCTAGCATCCAGTAGGTCAGCCTGGAGTGTGTCATTTGCTATTCCCCGATAATGTTTTGGTTTTGTTTAAATGTGGTGGGTTCACTGAGACAGGGAACAATGGAGTGCCAGAAGACAGGTGAGCATTCCACAAATTATTTTTGTGTCACTTTAGTGGTGGGGTAGTTATTTTATATTAGTATCAGCTCTTGTTAGTTGATGGTTGTGTGACATGATGAAATATGGGGTGTGGAAGAATTACTAAGGAGCAAGAACAATAGAAGAATAAATGAAATACTGTGTACACTATCTGATGATTCGTTTGATGGGTTGAGCAACACCAGCATTGAATTGGGATGTGATTTGATGTAATTTTCTTTGTTGACTTTGTGTCACCTGCATATAATGAGGGAAGCAGGAAGAAACCACCACCAGCAGAAAACCATACAAGTATAAAGGGGTGTAAATAACCTGCAAAAAAAGTACAAATCTTACCTGTAAAAACAAACTCCACTTAACATGTGATCCTTTTGTACTTTAAAAGAATACACCTGCATCTTTACTATTGTGGTAGGATCCACCTAATTTGCATAGTGGAGTACCGACCATATAAATATGGTTGGTACTGGGAAGAGAGGGAGGAATTAAGAGATTCAACCAGAAACTCTGCCCGACTGCGACTCAGTCAACACATTCTCTAGGAACAGTCTTACCAGGAATATACAAAAGACAATATGTAAATATTGTGTACACTTTCTTGTTTCAATACATTTTGTTCTAAGTACATTTTGTGTTGCATTATTATTCCATGCATTAGTCAAGTTTCAACATTTACCATGCCATAGTGTATATAATATGTATGAGCTACACACAGTCTTCCCCCTCACACAAGAAATAACACTTGTGTTGTCAGTGTTGTAAAATTAAAATTTAGTTTCATTGAATCTGTTCTGTGTGGCCATAGTAGAAAATCATACAAAGAGGAAAAATAGAAAACCAATCAGATCACTCCATTTTACTTTCCAAGAGTCCTAAGCTTAGACCCTCTGAAAGAAAATAAAAGTGAAGTCATCCATCTAAAGATCAGTAGATGCACTTCAGAAGTGCATATCCACATAAATACCATACTGAAAAATGCTCAAACTTAATTTTCTACCCAATAACAGACAATATTTACAAACATGCCAAAACATTCCACAATACAACACATGCCATTTAAATCAGAGTTTCTCTTGGCTAGAAATTAGCATAACCATGTGAAATATTTCACCAATTAGAGAAACATTAACTCTGTTTTTTCTCAAGCTTACTTTCAGGAAAAAATTCTTATAAAAACTCGCAGATTTCAATTTTCATTAAGCTGAGAAGGCATCTATCTCCAAGCCAAACAAAAGAGAGAAATGCAAATGTCTCCAAGTTGAAGAGAGATGTTATTATCTCTCAACAGCACATGCTGAAAGAAACAGGTATCGATGACTTGAAACAAATAATCTCCAACAAAAACAATGGAAATGATCAGTGAATCTTTGCTAACAA